AGCAGCAGCGAAGGCACGCCATCGTACCCACCTTCTGTGCTTACCTGGGGTTGCTAGGCTGCTGGGGTACCTAATCAGGCAGCTTTGGGGTCCCAGATAGGTGACCAAGGTTAAGGTCAGGTGCAGGTGCCCGCCATCATCGTTATCATTCTACAATCACACTTCGATATACATACTAGTTGAAACTCTATCACTTTTTACTGAATTCAATTTGGTTACAGTGCTCCAGAATGCGTCTATTGTCTGTTCGCATATTTCTGCAAGTCTGGAAGCCTCCGATTAGCTATGACGCGCCGTCGTGTTTTAGGCTAAGATAACAAGCTCTTTGCTCTATTCTTAGTACGCCGCGGAACGCGAGCGCGTACCTAAGCTGCTAAGTAACCTCGGTCGCTCATAATGACATTAGATCAAGGCAATAATCCACCAGCCAAGATACCTAATTCATTATGACAAGAGCCAGCCAGCAGCGCATATCTACCGGCTTCCTTGACTTTTCGAATCCATCTGTAGTCATATCATACCGTTTTCTGTGCCTTCCGCACTGATAGGTAGTTTGTCATGTGTCATGCCCGGTGCATCCTCAATAGAAATGCATACACCATGAGAATCCAGGCTCCAGCAAAGTAACTTACGGTTTAGGAAGTCATACATCCTCAGTTACTTCCTTTCCTGCCTGATTAGGCCGCAGTACGGATTCGTTTGGTACCAGGGAAGTTTACCAGCTGGTGGAGTAAATGCTCGACGTCGCGGATCGTTGAGCTCAAGATGGATTTTGAGCTTGGCTGACCGTTTCGTTGAGAGCCTGTACGAGGACACGGTTTGCGCTCCGACATGCTACAAGGCTTCTCTCAACCATCGTGTTGTAGACCATAGCATCCGCGGCAGGCAGCTGACCCTTGAACCAGATGTTGGTAACCTCGTCTCTTGTAGGTAGATACGCAACACAGCATGCTGCATATATCTTTTGATATGTGGCAACATCCGGGTCTAGGACAATGACAGGCTCGCTTTTTGCATCCTGAGCTACCAAGGCCGCAACGCCTCCAGCAACAGTATCGACGCAGTCAATACCGGCATCCGCGATAGCAGCCGAGGCAACCGTTATACAGCCACTTAACACATTCATCATATCCCACCCTTCATCCCTGTCGTAATCAGGGGAGTCGCGGTTCTGGTCTCCTTCAATTATCGTGACAACGATATCAACACCACTTTTGGGCCAGCGATCTGCGATGATTGCGCCCCGTAATGCCGTTTCCAGATGTACTCCAAGATCTCTCTCGCTCGAATCGCGTAAATAGCCTCGTCTTTGTCTTGTCGCAAAAGGCGCATACTTGACGTGTGTTGAGAGAATGATATGAGGAGAGAAAGGTGCCGATCGTGGAAGGGCTCGAGGACCATGGACGGTACAGGTGAGCTTCAGGCTCGTGCCTGCGGGACGGTTCGAGCTCGGATCCTCTACTTCCAGGTACGCAGACCCAGTAGCCGAAGGAGTGACCCCAGTCTTCAGAACTATATACGATCCAGATCAGATCAACCGGTCAAGACACAAGACATACACTGGTCAAGCAGCAACTTACAGATCTTTCGAACGACATTATTCGCCGACTGTCCCGCAACTCTCTTTCCTTGAGGGCGATCATACACAGGAGGAGCTGTTTGGCCAACCGGGCCGTTTATGCGCCTCCGATCAGCCATGATTGCTGAGTTCAGCGGTCCGAAGTGCTTGATTACTGAAAAGCTCGAGATGTCACATTCGCGCGGTGTTGAAGCTGAACACTTAGAACATTGAAAATTCCACCAAGCAGCAAATCTGCCCCACCATATCCATTATAACCCCTGCAACTTAGCTTCAGCACAGACCCGTTCGGCCGCGCATTTCCCGTCCTCCGCCAGATTTTCGTAACCGTGACTTTAAAATCGAAATTTCTTTCCCTCGCACTCTCTCAAAACATGAATCAGAGGCCAAAAGCTCAACACCGAGCATCAACAAGCCCAAACAGGTATCATCAAGCCTTTTCTTCAAATCAAGTCTACATGCATTGCTCTGAAGCATGTGCCAGGACTTTTGGCACTTAATTATTAGCACTCTGACTGACGGTTGACTGCGATTCAACTGCCCAACTTGATTCTTCATGCTGGCATTTGGTATGTTGGCTTCTCTCTTTAACACGTCGCCGACAGATTTGATTTCCCCTCTGAATTCCCTTGCTACTGATGAATTCCAATCCACTGTTCTTCGCGATCACCTGAGCGGACTGAACAAACATGCACTACCATCTGAAGCGTGAACTAGCCATTGTTATCATCATTTTGATGTCTAGTTCTTCGACTAACAGTCTACCTAGGTATTATGCTTGCAACATCTATTCTTTCACAATGAACGCTATCAGGATCGCCTGTTAATGTGAGTATACTCGTATTCCTCTTGTCTCTTTTCTTTTTCATGATGAAAAATCATTTTCCAGTTCTGCTACTGAAGCGCTGTGAGGATAACCATATACCAAAAACTTTTTCTGATCATACTCTCTATCTTCTCATTGCTTTGATTCATCCAGACTAGCGAACATAAGCTAACTTTGACGAAGTGTCCAGTTACCTAGAGTTTCCGATTTATTTACTGATCCGATATGCAATGAACGTAAGTTGGAATTCTTTACCTTCCACAAGCAGCCTTGTCATGATGAGAACTGTTTATCCATTCAACTATCTCACAGCGAGTCGAGCCACCCTCCCGCACCGTAGTTGCTTTCGGGTATGCGATGATCGGTTGTGGAGTTGTCTCTTGGCGACCCGGCTTCTTGCTAGGGCTTGTCAGAGATATCATGTTGGCTTCAGTGCCTTTGACCTCTTATGTCTCGTCTTGAGGCACGGAGTGAGAAGGCCGACTTGCGTGAATGAGTAAACTGGTTTGTCTGAACTATTTATCTATCTACTTTATCCAGCTTTCGAGTCTGTATCTGAACCCTGGCTGACTGAATGCAGCAAAATGAGATTGTCCAGCAAAGTAGAGTTTATGAGCCTTCACCGCCTCGTAAATCGTCGTAGAGTAGGTATCGTAGTCAGTCCCATACCAGAAGGTAAGAAATCTAGATGAAAGCTGGGAAGGCAGAAGTATGATCCGTCTCGTCTTGGGCCGATCTTCTTATACTTTAGTTCGAGTTCTATAAATAAAATCCGTAGATTGCCCTGCGCATCTAACGTCTTATGTTCTTCTGTGCATTATGCCAGCACCGGCTTGATGGTTAGGGAATATGAGAGTGTCAGCTATCACTACGTTCTCTCTTCTTCCAGCAGCAAACACAATCACCTCGGCAATATCATCGGGTGTTAGAGGATCACAGCCACTTTCATGAGCATCAGTACTGTTGGATCATGGAAGCAAAAGGTAGGGTCACTCACGCATAGACAGCATCCGCCTTAGACTTATCACCGTAGAACCGGACGACAGAGAACTCCTAGGAGGTGGTCAGCCAGCTGCAAACTACCCCTGCTACTTCGGTGACGATACTTACAGTCTCGACTTGGCCAGGATCAATCTCGATGACGCGAACGCGCGAGGCGATGAGCTCTTTGCGCAGGGAATCGGTGAAGCTGCGGATGGCGGCCTTGGTGGCGCAGTAGATGCTGCCGCTGGGGTAGGGCTCGCGGCCGGCGATGCTGCCGATGTTGATGATGTCGCCGTGGCCGCCGTCGGGGCGGCGCAGGTAGATGGGGAGCACGGCCTGCGTCATGTTGATCAGGCCTGTCACGTTGGTCGCGAACATGACGTTCATGTCGGCCTCGGCGATCTCGGGGGCGCGGGCTACGCCTTTCACGAGGCCGCTTTAGAAGGTTAAAATTAGTTAAGAGCCTGATGAAGTTTGCGGTCGGCATGGAGGTGCGTCCCATATGTTCGTTTGCCTTTGTATCGAAAATAGAACACCCCCGTGACTTGCTCCGCAAGGGAGAACGAGTAGAGGACTTACGCATTGTTCACCAACACATCGATGTCGCGGAACTCCTCGGGCAGGTTCCCCACGAAGCTGCGGACCTCGTCGGGGTTGCTCACGTCGAGCTTGAAGGGCAGGACCTTGACGCCGTCGCCGACCTCCTTTGCGATGTCCTGGGCTATCTGCTGCAGAGTTTCGATGCGCCGCGCCGTCAGGACGAGCTTTAGGTTCTTGGGTGATGTTCGCGCGAACTCGAAGGCTGTGCTTTTCCCTATCCCGGACGAGGCCCCCGTGATCACAATGGTCTTGCCCTCGAGGCGCTTCGCTACGGCTGAAGACATGGCTCTTCTCTTGACGAGGCCGATGTGGGTGTGGAGTGGCTGGGGAATAGGACGCGATGAGAGGATGAAGTGCCGGAGTGTGGAAAAGCCGGTCCGCAGGGTTGGCATAAGGATTGGATTGCAAATATAGAAAGGAGATATGTATGAATTTCTTCAGGGTGAAGCAGTTACCGGAGTATATACATACAGACAGCTCTTTTGTCCTTGCCCAATGCCGATACAGCGCAATGATGTGCTCGACCCCGCCATAGCTATTCTAAGCTGCCCCGCCGCCAGCTCCCATATCGGAATGACTCGGTTCCAACAGTCTGCGCCGGGTTACTCTAAGCCGAAGATTTCGGATGGCCTTTCCCAGGCTGCTGGTGCAATTGCAAATACTTCAAAGTACAACACCGTTAATCTCAGGTTTGATAGGTTTATAACAGTATCTATTCGAAGCGTACTCGTATTTCTGCAAGCCCTTGCATGCCCTTCACACACGTGGAGGTTAAGAGTACTCGGAGCTATTATTTGTTCATATGAGAGCTCCTACCTTCATTATTAAAGTCATAACAGGCCAAAGAAAAGTGCAAGAACGATTCCATTCAACAGACTAGAGGGAAGCTGCCTGTCCAGAAAGTTACACGAACGTTAAATAATAATCATTGATGTGTGGCCGCAGATGAGCCGGTGCTGGTGACAAAAACGTAGAAAAGAAAACTGTCAAAATAAAGAATTATGGTGAGCAAGGCCCCGCCGAGGATTGAACTCAGGTCTCAGGAAATTTGGCGTCAAAATCCTGCGTGCTAACCACTACACTACGCGGCCGATGTCAAACAAGTTTTTGTAATACATTATAAGGCTTGCACAGAATATTACGTAATGCGCTTAGTCTTCCTCTGCTTCAGAAGTTGGCTCCACCAAGCTTCCCCCTTCTAATATTTCAGACTCAAGTGACATCCTCAACTTGAAGCTTGTCATATTACAATCACAACGCTGTACAAAATGTTCCTTTTATGTATTCATTATTGTTCCAAATCTAAACAGCCTAAAGCCGTTTTTGATGCTAGAGAGAGGCCGAAAGCATGTGCCAATAGGAGCTGTCACAAGCTTTCGTTCCTTCCATCTCCAATCAACCAATAGATGAAGACGGTGCGCAGTTACCAGCATTATTCGCCGTTTTATACATAGACCGTACAACCGAATCGACTCGACCGGTTCAGGAAGCGGATTGCCAAACCTGATGAGCGACGAATTATATGTGGTAGCATTAAATTGATGATTTAATAGAGAAGCAGCGGGGCAAAAGGAATGCTCGTCATGAAGGAACCCGATATCTAGATCGACCTGCATGTGCGATCGTTTACTTGGGTAAGAATGGAGTTGCAAAGCATGCCAATACAACACAATCTGCCAGGGTCGGTAGTTTTCTTTATGTGATGATGACGACACAGATGCAAGTTTCCCATTCATGCCTGCCTACCTAGGTATATATCAGGAAAGCAAACGAGAAGGGTGAGGTCAGATTCATTACCGTACATGTAGGTACTTACTTAAAACGGTACCAGTTATACCATCGCACTTGCGACCTTTTCTTAATCTCCTGACAATATTTACGTATACCGTATACGACTGTCTCGGTTGAGTTCACTGATGCCTGCTTCGACGTTCCACCATGCCAGGTCCACTGCAGCAAGATATTGCTCATATCGCCAATGCCATTACGTCCCCGTTCCGATCAACCAGCCATGGGGAAGAATCTAACACGCCCGAAAAGGGGAAGTCAACACAACGCAGCGAGGCTAAGCAGCAGGAGAAGCGCGAGAAGGCCGAGCGTCGCCAGCAGGAACGGGAAGAGGTAGAACAACGTCGGCAACGAGAAGACGAAAAGGCTGAACAAGAAGAAGACGAAGAGACCAAGGCGCGCTACGGCGAAAATGTCCATCCTCACGAGCTGTGTTCGCTCAAACAGGTAGCTGCACTGCCGGTAGGGTCCGAGGTCAATTTCCGCGCCAGAATCCACACCCAAAGACGGATATCTCAAGCTCTAGACTTCTTGCTATTTCGTAATCAAACAGACTCCATCCAGGGTGTACTCACCAATGCGTCGCCGCACATGATACGATGGGTACAGAGGCTCCATCCCGAGTCTCTCGTTCACGTCACCGGCACTTTGCAGAAACCAGAAAAACCCGTCACCTCTGCGACAATCCAGGACCTAGAGGTCCTGGTATATTCCCTCCATCTTGTCAACCCGGCCAATGAATTGCCCTTTGACAACTATGAACCACCCAATGCTCTCCGTCAGCGTCTATCCGGCCGTGTGGTAGATCTCCGCCACCCAAGCAACCAGGCTGTTTTCCGAGTTCGCTCTATGATTGTCAAGAAATTCCGTGAAGCCTTAGACGAACTGGGTTTCTTGGAAATTCAGACACCTAAATTGCAGCCTGCAGCCACTGAGAGCGGCTCAGAAGTCTTCCATGTGCAGTACTTCGGCCGGACAGCGTTCCTAGCACAGAGCCCCCAGCTAGCGAAACAGATGGTTATCTCCGGTGATTTCAAGAAAGTCTATGAGGTGAGTATCGATTAACATGTATCTTCAAATGAATCAAATACTAAGGCCAGTTTTGAAGATCGGTCCCGTATTCCGTGCAGAGAATTCAAATACACATAGGCACTTGACTGAGTACACAGGACTCGATATAGAGATGTCTCTCAAAGCGTCATATAGAGAGCTCATAGAAACTATAGACAAGGTTCTCAAAACCATATTTGCCGCAGTCCAGTCCATGCCCGAGCTCCAAAACGTTCGAGAGCGGTGGCCTAGCAAGGATCTCGTCTGGCTGGATGAGACACCCATCATCCCCTTTTCTAGAGGTATCCAGATGCTGCGGCAAGACGGCAGAGACGTCGAGGAGGAAGACTTGTCTACACGCGACGAAATACGTCTTGGGGAACTCATCAAGGAGAAGTACCATACCGACTATTACATCTTGGACAAATTCCCGGTTAATGCTAGGCCGTTCTATACCCACAAGGCCGAGGACCCTAAATGGACAAACTCATTTGATATTTTCTTGCGTGGCCAAGAAATTTGCACAGGCGGACAGCGCATCCATGATGCCAAGGAACTTCGTGAGAATATGGCTGCATCGAAGATTGGAGAACAGGGGATGGAAGAATACCTTTCCGCCTTCGACCTCGGTGCGCCGCCTCACGGTGGAGCAGGCTTGGGGTTGGAACGGATAGTGATGCTCCTGCTCGAACTTGACGATGTAAGAAATGCTTCGCTCTTCCCACGCGACCCTAAGTCCTTGCCGGCCCGCCCGCCTAGTCTCCCTCATCCCGACGCCGACACCATGGTACCCAGGAGCCCGAACGAGGAACCTCCCTCCATCGAGAAACTCATAGCAAACTATGGAGACGCTACAAACACATCTTGGCTCGACGACCGGTTCGAAATATGGCGACACCCAACCGGGGCAGCAGTTGGCTTCGTCAGGCAAGATAGCAAGTTCGCCATGATAGCAGGTGACCCACTGTGCGATATGAGGCAGTATCATGAAGTGATACCCGCCTTTGTCGAATACGTGCGAAAGGACTTACACCTTACCCCCGTCTGGATGCTTGTTTCGGAAGAAGTCCGGCAGGTGCTAGATGACAAGATGGGATGGCGAACGCTAAGCTGCACCGAAGAGCAGCGCGTCGACGCAGATAGCCATCACGGCTCAGAGAACCAGCGCGGCGCTCGCCGTGCGAAGCGGGAGGGAATTATGATCCACGAAGTCGTCGAGCCGGACGAGGATTTCATGAGGCGGGCCGACCAAGCGATCCAAGAATGGCAGTCTGAGCGCAAGGGGAAGGGAAAGCAGGTCCATCTCACCGAGGTCCGGCCTTGGGTTGATCGTGAGCACAGGCGCTACTTCGCCGCCGAGAAGGAGGGTAAGGTGCTCGCTCTCGTCGTGCTGGCTCAACTGGCGCCCCGACATGGCTGGCAGGTTAAGTGGGCCTTCGACTTCCCGAGCGCGCCCAACGGGACCATAGAGGTTCTCGTGGAAACGGCGCTATCGGCTCTATCCGGACCCGTGACATTCGGGGCGGGAGTGTCGGAGCGGTTGACTCCCCGCTCGCAGCTCGGTGGCGTAAGAGCCAAGTTCTTGGCTAACACGTATGATGTTATTGTGAAAAACCTTCGGCTCGGCGGTAAGGCCCAGTTCAGGGAGAAGTTTGGTGTGCTGGGCGAGCAGGTGTATATCTGCTACCCGCGGCACGGCTTAGGCATCATGGATTTGCAGCAGATCGTGAAGTTCTTCGAGGACTGAGCTTGGACGGGCTGTAACTGTGAGGAGGCGGACAGGTGGATGCGACTAAGATTCTCATGTAGTGGACTTTGAAGATACGGATATCACGACTGTACGATCTGGGTTTCTATGGCGATCCCTTTGATACTTAGCGGCGAGCTGTTCCTTAGTCTCTCTGTCATACTAGGCAGACAAACGCTTCCTGTACTGCGTTTAAGAAACATGACTTTATTTGGAACTCCTGGTAAATACATTTATCTGTGTACTACCATCCGAGGCTGGATTCGTTGCCCTCGCAGATCAAGACTTCTACATTGTTCACTAGCATGGTAAATACTTTGCTTCTATAACGGCGGATCATGTCCGATTTGGTCTGTAGTTAACGCCGATGCTTGCTCAACAATGGCTTGCGATTGGGTAAGATTCGATAATCGGACATCCGGACAATCGTCAATGGGTGGGCAAAAGGGCCGTGAATGACGATGTTTTCTGCATTGTAATGCATGCTATATCTACAGAAGCTATAAGATTCTTCCCGAGGAGAGGGGGTCACATCTGGAGGCGATCACCGAGCGATTCGCATTCGCCTGATTCTTGACTTCACTAACCCTATGATGTGAGTAGGTATCGAATCTGTCTGTCGGTCAGCAAAAGAACGAGTCCATCTGCTGACGGGCGTCAAGAATGCATAGGGGCAGCCCCTGCTTCTCCCAATGACGAACTCCGAGATGCCGAACTAACGCATGCAAGATGCAACACCCTCGAGCCACACGGATGTATGTCAGCAAGAACTCGAATGTGATAGCTGGGTTCACGTTTGAGTGCCGTATTTCCATTTCGCGTCTCCCTGGCTTAAATTTGCGAGTGAGAAATGTATCTACCTAGGTAGGTGGTAGGTAGTCAGTCCAGTTTGGAAGCCCCCATCCGTCGGAGTCGCTCGGAATCGATGAAGTTGAGACTCTAGAATAGCGATCTATGGTATGAGTTGTCGCAGCGGGATAGGCTCGGAATCTTAAGAAGTAGTAGCAACAAGGACCAAGCCTCACCGGCTGACCCGCTGCATTCCTGACCGCTGAACTTCGAAGGTACCAACCCAAGCTGTCTCGTATCTTACTGGAAATGGCCCTGGATACGCGGGGTGTTAGTAATCGTGCCCTAGGGGTAACAACCTTGGAGATGCATCCTGATCACGTCCAGGGCGCCGAACTCATCCTGGACGCTGAACTCATCCTGGACGCTGTCACACTCCCGAGCGGTTTGGTGTTACTTGGAAAATCTGCAGCAGGAGTTCTAGATGATGTCTGATAGTGAGGGTGATTATGTGTCTCCCACCGAGGAGGGTTTGCACGACACGAAGGGGACTCGAGTATAAAGGTAGTAGAAGATTCCCCCATCAAAATGCTTCTATACTACACTCAAAGTCGACAAGGAACCCAAGGCGAGCTTAAACATTGTATCAATCTCAAAGCTATATCAACTCTCTCGAACCCGGAAGTATCTTGCTCAAATGAAGTACTCAAAGAGCCT